GTGTCCATCGGCAACATATTGTACACCTCATCTCCACCAGATTATTAAAGATCTTAAAAGGTTTTTGTTTATTATTAAGCTGGCATTTGGTTACTGTACAGAGCAGCTCTTTTCTTTTAAATATTGAACAGTACCATCAGTATTATTTATTATTATGTCAAGGTTGAAATATTACAATCCTAAGATGTTAAAGTCTTTAAAATGAGGAAGCCAGTTACCCTGACATTTGGCTAATGCAGACTACAAAACAGTGGCACTGATCAAGCATGCCTTAATGGAGGTTAAGATGCTTCAAGTCACCTTTGCAGGGAAAAATAACAGATGAGGCAGTCCACTTATTCACTCATCTTCAGTTACCTCTCTCCTAACAGTCACGAGCTCGGTCTTCAGATGCGTGATGCTACGTCCTCCTACGTTTGAGGCTTCGTGCACATTTAGCCTCGACTTCACCGTCATCTGAGAGAATGAAGGAACCGGTGCCAGGAAAGCTAGACTGACGCTTGACAGCATGTTATTATGTGCGGCGTAGAGTACAGTTAAGTCTGACCTTGCTGTTAATTTGTGGATTTGCAAGAACGCATTTGCTCAATAGACTCAAGTCCTGTCAAGATACTAAATAATGAAGGCCATTAATCAACAGCACTGTTAGGAGAAGGTGAACACTCATGTGCACGCCTGTTATTTGACTACAGATTAGGGCTGAATTCTTCAGGAGAATAAGAGAACATGCTCATTGTTTATCTCAGCCACCCTGATACGCACACACACACACACACTGTTCCTCTTGCTGTTAGTTGCTCTAGCCATGTGGTCTATTGCATAATCCAGACACCATTACAGAGAATTCCCCCTTTAAAGCTGAATCTAAGCCTGTGTGCAAGTTGCCTGTTAAGACACAACCTTACTTTTAAATCAAGGAAGCAGTGAGACAGACAGGCAGACATAAATTATAAATAGACAGATAAATAAATAGGCAGACAGATTGACAGATACATAAATTGATAGATACATAGATAAATAGATAGATTAAAAGCTATTACTCACAGCAGGTGTAGGGTAGGTGTGTGCGCAAAGCTTCCTCCAGTAATTTCATTAAATCCAGACTTGACAAAAGATCTGATTAAAAGGAGAAACAAATCAAAGTGGAAATATGACACAGAATCTAATAAGCTTTCTGACACTTCACCACTTCATGCAGCATCACTTACAGTGAAACGACGTCGGATGGGAAAGTGTGGGGCACAGATCGGACACTCTCACATAGGGCATTATCTTTTGTGCAGGTGCATCCGTGGGGGCATCTGGGCTGCCTCACTCTCCGTCCGTCAGCTAAAGCCAAGCTGACAACAACGACCCAAACCAAGAGCGTCCATCCTTTCCGTCTTCTCCATCCCCTCACTTCTCTGCTCGGGTATCCCATTCCTTCTGTCCCGAGCCGAGTACTTCCACTCACGAACATGCAACTTACAAGCAAAATCTGCGACGTGTAAAGCCAATCGGGAAATATTAACTTGACGCTTTCAGATTGTTTTCTCGTTTTGCTTTTAAAAGCCGAGGTCCTCTGTCTTGTTTGCTTTTAATGATAGAGCGCTCTGAGGCTGTCTTCTATGCTTCTAGCGTCTCAATAGGAAGGCACCAGTCCAGTGGATTTGTTCTGCAAGGGGCAGGATTACAAATGCGGGGCAGATGGGACATAATAGCAGAAAACATCTCAGATTTTTGTCGTGCCTAAGTAAAAGGCAAGGGTAAAAATCTGGCTTTTTGGAGTTGTCCCGTAGCCTAAATGCTTTGCTAAAAGAAAAAAAAGAAAAAAAGAAGAAGAAGATGCCCTTAGAGAGAGAAAGCGAGTGGAAGAAAGAAAGAAAGAGAGATGGAGGGGGGGAGAGGGGGAGAGAGGCCCCAAGGTGCGCTTTTTTTTTTTTATCAGCGGTGCCAGCTATTATTTATGCGCGCTTCAGAGCCGTGCATGGCTAATGGGGGAGCAGCTATTCATGAGGCGCTCTGTGCAAATGCACCTGCCCCACTCATTCAAATGCTGCCTCTTTTCTTTCCTTCTCTGGCATAATAATGACATTAAATGTGAAAATATACGGTTAAATATACATCAAAAAGACTACTCAATCAGATATTTGTGCATAAGAAATGGCTGGTAAAGTCTGATCTCCAGACTATCATTACACAGGGGGGGGGGGGGGGGAATGGAAATGGAAGAGCAGTATTTTATATTATGTTCATTAAAATGAATGTCGTGGAATAGCATACACGGGGAAACATATCATAGGATTTCATGAATAAAATATTCTCAAATAAAAATTTCCATCCGTTTGGATTGCGTGGTTTTTAAACTCGTTTTAAATCCTTATTAAAACAGACTGTTTGCCTGACATGTATGCAAAAAGCCTTTTGTGTTGTTTATCCAACTGGATGAGTACGCCTATGTGTGTTTAAATAGCTAATAGGACGACATATTTTTTCAGTAATAAATGACGAGAGCTGTGCCGTTTCTTTCCTGGATGAGGTCCTTTGATGGGTTCGGTGGGTTACATGGGAAGTCAGGGAACACTGCATTTTTGTTCCCGGACTGACTCATAACCCCGAGTCCGAATTAAACTCAAAACATTCACACAGTACAATGCCCTCTTTATTTTCCGTCCACAATTCAAATACATCCTCCAGTGTCACTCAGCGGAAGTGAACGATATGAATCAATTGCCGGTTGATCCGTGTAACTGGGCCATTTGTTCTAAAATGAATGTCGATGCTCGATGTTGTACTGCACCCCCTTTCATCCCCAATAGATTATTCATCTCACCTGGTGACGCTGACTTGCCCCCTGATAAATGGCTAATTAGATAAATTGGGTGATGGACAAACTGATAAATTAGAAAAGAATTAGATGCCCAATTAAAGAAACTGTTATCAGCCAATTACACTTACACAGAATTAGACTTTAGAGCCTCGTTATTGACTACAAACCAATGTAAGCTTTAAAATCATAGAAAAAAAGGAAATGATAAATTATTCTTGGACTTATTTCTTGATTTTTCTCAGATTCTTCTAAATATAATTCGTGTAGGTCTGCGTCATCATACCGCGACTTATTTCCTACGTCATCACATGGCGATTACATTTTGTAAACAGTCAGCGGCAGTTCATAGGGAGGAAAAAAAAGAAGCCATGGATGATCTTGTGAAGGTAAACTTTTATACATGCGATATAGTCGCGTCTCTTCTTTTGCAAACAAGGCTGTGAGGACGTGTTCGCGTAGTTGTTAGCAGCCAGTTATCCCCCTCACAGATACGTGTGTCGGTGCTGCCTACTAACGCCGTGTTGTTCCTGACTGCTTCACTGGTCACAGTCAGGGATGAGCGGTGTCTGTGGCGCGTGACAGGTCCAAAGCGGTCAAAGCACGAGCTAAAGCGCGTGCCTGCGTGAAATTCACAGCAGTCAGAGTCGCCGTGCACCTGCTACAGTGTCATAGCTCGTTTCTGATGACGGGACCTCCAAAATATCTCACTTTATTCACCATTTCATCCATCATTGAGCACTTGCTCTGCCACACCGAGTGAGGGAAAGCTATAGTCTCTCGTTGTAGCAGTTACTCCATTTGTCTTCTTTTAGCCAGACATTTGGTGACTTTGAGAGATAAATTACACAAAAACAATTTTTTTTACATCATTAAAATGTGATTTCCGATTTCTGGGTGTGTTCTATGGGTAATATCGTTGCTTATATTGATAAATAGGCTTCAGCCAAATAGATTTCTGAAGGGGTTACATATAACATAAAGAAATGACCTGTTTATAAGTATTTTTATGACTCTGCATTATTGTACCAACCTTTTGTTCAACATTATTATCAGTACAGACCGTTCTGGCCACTTTAAATGTCTCTATAGAGGTATTTTGTTATATTTGTTGCACTTTTATTGCTACACCCAAGGCAGGATCTTTCTTGACAAAGACATTTTTAATGTCAAGGAAACTTTTCACATGGATAAATAAAGGCTATATAAAATGTACATTTCCAAATATTGATTGCAGCTTCTACTTGTCACAGGAATGTGTTTTCTGGGTAGAAATGACTTGATATCATCGAGCTATGCAGACATGTTTGACAGATTACAGGCCAACCGGATATTATTTTTTTCAGCAGACAATCACTTTTGGGGCGAGACACTGGGTCAAATTCATCCCATATCCATTAAGATGGACTTTTAGATCAACCAGTCTGGGTTAAATAAATGAAGAGATGATTTTATGGAAGCTCAAAACATTCATGAGACATGAGAACTGTCTGTGTTCCCACTAAATTTGGAGGCCGGCACTTGTGGAATAAAATAGAATGGGATCATTCTAGTTTTTATGTTTTCATGTCTTAAGTATATCAGACAATTATGTGATAATAGATGCTTTTCTCCAAAAAAACAGTGTTGTGAATACCTAAAAACCTAACAATAAAATCTCTCTCCTACTCTCTGTTTATTCATGTCAGACAGGAAACTTGTAGACACTTATTATGAAGGAATGCTTGGCCTGAGACAAAATTGACCTGGATCAAACTATAAAGGCATAGAATATGTTCTAGTTAACTTAAACCTGACCTGTTATGCTTCCTGTTTTCTTTATTTTCTGTTATATTTATACCCTTACAGTATTAAACATGATTAATGTTTGAAAGAATGAGGTGAGACTGCTGCAGCCGAGTTTCTGTTTTATGGTTTTTCCCCCACCTTTGGGTCTCTATGGTGTGAAAGTGAGGAGCCATCTATAATATGGTTAATTTAAGCACATAGGAGCTCAGTCCACCTGCTGTATGAACCCATTCTTTATCAACAATCAAAAGAAAGTTGACTTAAACTGATGGGGTCTGTTTTGTTTCAGACAGAGAAAGCACTGATCAGAGGAAATATGCAAAAATGCCCTCCCTCATTCAGAAATGCATACTTTAATGGTTTTATATATATGTGTGTGTATGTGTGCAGCAGATGTTAATACATAGTGTCATGTTTACTCTAAGATCAGTCATTACCCTATTTGTGTCACAAGTTGCAATACATGTGTCACAGTTAGGATGTACAGTACAAGCGTACGCATGCATTTTTTAACTAATATGCCTAATTTTGCCAGAAAGTGTGTGGATGATTCACAAATCATCAGATATGATTCACAAATCACTTCCTGTGTTTCCTCAGGTTCACGGGGGCGGCGGTTATGACTCTGACTTCAGTGATGAAGATGGACAGGGAGAGTCCTCACAGAGAGGCCTTAAAAGGTCAAATGAAGGCTACAGAATTATTTAGGCTCAATGATACTTTTTCGCTTTATTCACATTTGGCTCAACTGAACTCCTGGTACTGTATCTGTGCTGACCAAATGAGATGGGATTGTACAGATGATAATATGAATAAACACAAGTGTTTTTAATCCATTTTTTTTCACAAGCTTTCTGCTATTATGTGTACCTTCTACAGGAAACATGAGGAGGAAATCTTACAGAAGCCGTTTCAGAAAGGTCGCCACTCTAAGGTGGCTCACCGCAGCTTGCACTCAAATGAAGTGGACAGGTATGGTGACTAATAGCAGATCGAAGAAGTGCTAATAGCTTTTAGCTGCTCGCATTTTACCTATGCACACTACAGTTAATGTCACTTCTTATGGGCCAATCTGATTAAATGCTCTCAGTGGATTGTTTTTTCTTTGCAAGCTATCACACATGATCTTGTTTTGTTTTTTTGTCTTTTTTTGATTAAAAATGCATCATTTATATTTATATATATTTTTGTTTTGTTTAGAGAAGAAGCCCAGAACAGACGAGCCCATCTGATATCCATGAACGCCGTATCCTTTCTCAATTTATCATTTCTTTCGGCTGTGAGTAGACGACGAAGAGGCTGATGAAACGTAACTTTTTAAGATATTAAAATGTGATGCGGTGGGAAATTTTAGGCTGTTTACAGTTGCAAAAGTTAACATTGAACAACAGAATGACCTTAAGCAGATGTCTCCAGTTTGAGCGGCACAAGAAGTTTGTCGGTGATTACATACTGTACTACGGGGGACAGATGGTTGACTTCAAGCGCTCAGTGTGAGTAATCTTACTCACAGTCAACTCTGGGGAACAGTCAGCTTCTGTCACTCCAGGCAAAATAATGGCAATATGTCTATACATCACTGCAATCCAGTTAATCATTTCATTAAAATTGATAGTTGCAGAAGTTGTTTTTCGGTTTATGCGCGCTCATAAACGTTGTCATTTTACATTTATTCCCCGTAGAGCCAAGGACAAAACAGATCTAGACGTGCTGCGTGAAAACCATCGTTTCCTCTGGAGGGATGAGGACGAGGAGGACATGACATGGTGATCAACTTAGTGGCATCAGTAATAATGAATTAGTTTTTTACCTGTTCATTTCTCTTCTGAAAAGTCTATACGTTACACTAGATGTTAGTTAATGATGTGTGTGCTGATTTTCTTAGTTGCTTGTGGGGTTTTTTTCTGTGGCAGGGAGAAAGAATTGGCCAAAAAGTATTATGACAAGCTGTTTAAAGAATACTGCATAGCTGACCTCAGCAGATACAAGGAAAACAAGGTGAGAACAATGGAAATATAATTGATTTCTTACTAATTTTTAAACAGTAATACAGCTTATGTAAAGCAGTTTCTGTATGATATGATAGCATTTTTGAATATTTGAAAGCATTTAAAAATTGTCATATAAAAAAAGGCAGTTTCACACAAGGTGCAGGAATTAAAACCTTAAATTACAGTTCAAATGAAGGTAGCACTTCATGATACCATGCTTAATAAATTATACATTTATAGTTAAATAAACTTTAGTATAAAGTTGATATAAAGTGAATGCTAATGTTAGCTAATCATGAGTAATATTCATGTTACTTATGTAGTTTTATTTATTGCATTATATCAAAGAATGGATTATAATTACAGTCTGACAACTTAAGCACACATAACATTTACTATACTGTAGTAAACTACATGTGTCAGTTATTACCAAAAGGTAATAACTCAAGTTTAGCCCCCTATAGCATGTCTTAGTAACACACTTGGGCCATTATTTTCCCCAAAATCTAACCAAGCAGCCAGTTAAAATCAAAGTAAACAGAAGGTAAAACAGGGAAAGGATCAGGACACATCTCCAGGTTCACAATGTTGTGACTGCTTGCACAGTCAGGTTCAGAATCTGTTGGAGAGACAGAGGCTTTCCTCTGAACGTCACAGCAGTTGCCTTTAAATCAAACACTCAAGATGTGATGGAAGTGCCGACTTCAGCTTTAATTCGGAGGCTTTTACACAAATGTTTTCATTTCTTTTATGCAGAGTCTCTCATATTCGGAGGATCAAAATTAATTGGACAAACTGACATCATTTTAAATATAAATATTGTTTTTAATACTTGGACGAAACTCCTTTAGAGTCCATGACTGCCTGAAGCCTAGAACCCACTGATGTCACCAAATGCTGTTTCTATTCTTGAGATGCTCTCCCAGGATTTTACTGTAGCCTCCACGGTTTGCTGCTTGTTTGTGAGTCTCTCTGCGTTCAGCTTTATCTTCATTAAACTGAAAAACATGCAGCATTGAGTTGAGATCAGATGAAACTCTCAGGGTGCTTTTGCACCCTGCTTTGGGTCATTATCCATTTGTACTGTGAAGCACTGTCAAAGCCATCTTCTGTGGGTCTTTCAGGCTTTTTAGTGTTGCTGAGCTGTCCACTACTCCTAAACTTTCTACTGTCCCCCTGATAGGTTAATGTTATTTTTTGTCAATTAAAATAAGTCCACAGATCAGTCGCATCTCGATTGTTTGATTTCAAATCCACTCTGGTGGTATACGGAGTCAAAACTACAAAAATTATGAACCAATTTCTAAATCCTAGAAATCGATTTATCACTAACGCACCTACATGTGCTATAAGATAACATTACAGTGCCCGTAGATACCTCAGCAATCAGCGTTACAAGGACCTGCTCCAGTATTCCAAAAAAGATTACACTAATTATCCCTGCAGTGTTGCCATGTGTAAAGGTTAATATTACCTAAGTCTCACTAATCTCCATAATAGCGAGCCCATTTTAGCCTGAAGTTGGGGGTATGATGTGTTCTGGCGCTCTGCTCTGTCTCCAGTGATCGCTGAGCCTTTTTGGAGCGAGGCCAATGTTTAAAACTGATGAAAAGTGGCACACGTGTGGCCCAACTCAGTATCTCCTGCATTTGTGCTGATGAGTTTTCTGTGCACACATCTCTTTTACGCTTACACCTCCGACATGGCGCACAATACACAATACCTGGAATTATCTATGTTTATCGGAGGCACTGTAGGTAAATTGAAACATTTCAATTTAAAAAGTCCAAGCCGCTAAACACTAAAAGGTTGTGCACTTGATTTATTCACTAGTTATTCTAAAACGCCTACGAATAAAAATATAAAGGGCGAGTTGCAATACGTGGGGTCAAAAGGACACCACTTACTATAGATGTGTTTACATTAACAAGTTAATGTGCATGCACAGCATTTAATAATAAGAGTGCATGGGTGAATAAACACAAATATATGCAGTCCTTATATTCTCAGTTGTTTTTCTGATCCAACTGCCTTCGAAAACTAATAAGCATTAAAAGGTGGGAACAACACAGCTATGGCTTGCAAGCTATATGGATGGAAATGGATCTGATGCTTTAGTTGGTTTCGTGTATATGATTTTGCTCATTTATGCTCATTTAAAAAAATCTGTGCCCAACAGTTTGGATTTCGATGGCGGACAGAGAATGAAGTCGTCTCTGGAAAAGGTATGGCATACACCTGTTATATGCTTGCATGGTCCTGCTAATGTTGCTGTGTCGAGCACTTGCATTTGATTCGTAGTGAGAATAAGGAAGAGAATAAGCTGGAAAACAGCCTGGAGAGGTGGAGGTATGCTGCGGGGAGAGGAGGGATGCAAGTCAGTTGAAGCAACACAGAGTGGGTGTGTGTGTGTGTGTGTGTGTGTGTGTGTGTGTGTGTGTGTGTGTGTGTGTGTGTGTGTGTGTGTGAAAAGGGGACGGGTGCAACAGTCATGCTGCAAGGAGCAAAGGTAGTGAAGGTAGAATAAAACACCTGGGGTCAACCATCCAAAATAATGCAGAGCTCACAGGGTGGAGTGGGTGGAGACGAGTGTCAGGGGTGATTTGTGACAGAAGGAAGAACGAAAGGTAGAAAGAAGCCAAGCTGGAGATGCTTATATTTTTAAATGGGAGTGATCAGGATGGACAAGATTAGAAATTAGGCACTTTATATTGTAAGGTAAAGACCCTACAATAATACAGTAATACGCAATATTAGCCTCCTAAGACCCGAACTCTTCCACGTCATGCATTTTTAATTTCTCTTTGGTATTTGGGCTGATTGGGGCCCGATGAGTATAAAAACAAAGAATTACCAGATTTTTTTTTTTTTACCTTATTTTTGTTTTTAAGAAAAATAAGAGCCACATATGAGGATATTCATTTAAAATTTTGATAGAACAGTAGCAGTATAATGTCCTCGTAAGTGGATATCAGGCCCTTGTAGAGCAAATTTTAGTATTTTGGTCTAAATAACCCACATATGTAGGTCCTAGAGGGTTAATAATAAACCCCAGTAATCAGACTACCCCCTTTGAGCAAGGCGACGGTGGGACGGGAAAAACTCCCACTTAACAGGAAGAAACCTCCAGCAGAACCAGGCTGAGGGAGGGGAAGCCATCTGCCACGACTGGTTGAGTGAGGGGAGGAAGACAGGAAAGGCAGCATGTAGGATATGCAGGGCGGTGGTGGTGATAGGGTGAAGGGAGGAAGATGATCTGCTGTGACGACCCCTAAGGGGAGAAGTGATCTTAAATTGCAGTAAAAAGCATACTTGTTGAGCAAAGAGATCCGATTTAATCAAGAGGCTGGAACCGAATCCTTATTACATAGTATTCTATGTAATGCTGACATAAAGTCCGGATTCAGGGAGGTGTTGGAGATATTTTAATTACTATTTGTGACGTTTTTGCTTGCAGTGATGCTCTAAATTCACATTTTAGTGAACCTCAGTGAACCATAGTGAAGTGGGATTATAGCTTTCTCACCCACACCTCACATCCTTCTCCACTAGATGGAGACAGAGATAAAGACAATTCACACAGCAGTACATCAGCTATGATTGGTGCTTCCCTTCAGGAGTCTCTCCACATGTCAGGCTCTTTAAAAAAATCTGCCTGCTGCAATTTGGTTTGACTTTATGGCTCTCCAGAATGGCGTCATAAATCTTTAAACGATTTGACCTTTCATCTGAATTTTCTTTCCGTGTTTGCTTGTGGCTTCCCATCTTAAGCAGCCGCGGATTAATCTGTCCATTGATACCCAACACTGTAGCTTTCTGATAGCGCTGGACTAGCTTGATGGTTTGGCAGTGGTTCCATGATTACTGTTGCTATTATTGCTCAGGATTAGTACAACACCTCTCTGTCTACCGCTGCGTTTGTGTGACAGTGGTATTTATAAGTTTACCTGGAAGGACAATAGCTGCTGCTCAGCCAGGGAGCATGCCTTGACAGCTCATTAATAAAGTGAGCTTCACACACATACACAATCTCATATACACACATACACATATGCAGAGTCATTTAACATTTAAATTATTATTATAATTATGTTTATACCAGTACAACCTCACAAACACACAAACAGCGTGTCTGGGAAAGCTGACTAAACCAATATGTTGTTCCGGATTAAGACAGTGTAATCTTGGACTCTGACAGTTCAAGCCATGTAGCAGTACTCTACAGGAAGTGGGATTAGATTAGGTCAGATGCACTGCACTTTAGCTGCCTCAGCTGTGATTTGTGGACATTAATAATTACTAGAGACATGCTCCTTAAGTACTGTTTAGAGCATGGGACTCTAAACCCTCTCCAGTGAGATCAATACTAACTAAATTCTGTAAGTTGGGCCTGACGCCCCCGTTCAGACGTGAAGAATACACTGGTGCAAGTCTTTGTCATGGATTGAGTGTAACATGAGTTTGATTTGATTTGTAAGCTGATATAGGGTGTCATCAATCACAGACACTTGAATCTTGGCAACAATCTGTTGGCGAGTCATCAACGTGAATGTTTTTGATTTATTGTTCAATTACCAGCAGTTCCACTTGGACTAAGTGTTGCTAGTCTGAGCTCGTGTGTAGTACTGCTTCCCGTCAATTAAACTGATCTTGTACCACCTCCGATGGCCACTTTTTACTTTTGCTCTGGCATGAATACCTTTTTTGGAAACCATCCCCTTATCATCGCTGCTTTCTGTGCACCTCAGATCATGCTGGTGGATAATGCTGACTAGTCTCCATCCAATAAGGTTGGATCACGAAGAACACTGACCTTTCTTTTCATTGCTATAGTGTTATATTGGATCAAGGAGTGCACAGTACCAAAAGGTTTCATTCTCTCTTCTTTTTGGGGGGGATCACAGGTTATCCTCCCACTGGAATCTTGCTGCCGATTTTTTTGAAGAATGAGATGTACTTCTAGTCCTTGCTGATAACTTTCTTTTTCTCATCTCGGTGCCTTTATACTTCTGAAAGTTCCACATGAATTCCTGTAGTTGAATATAACAGAAAGCTACAAATGTCTCATATTAACAGATCTTAAAGGTACTTTCTTGGTTTTCTTTTTTTTTCTAAACAGAAGTTGTCATTTGTATTTGGGAGAGTAGCATGAAAACTTCTAGAGTTATACTTGGTTGCATACAAGTGAGTATAACTGTGGACTGTGGCTTTAAATGGAGGGCACATGGACATGTATTCACCCTCTGCCTATGAGATAGACATGGATAGCATTGCAATAGTGACATATTCATATAAACAATGAGCAAAGTTTCAGAAAATGAGTCGAGACTGCTATGAACATCTTTTTTTTTTTCGTGCTCTTGACTGCAAACACACAAGCATGAACCACTTGCTGTTCATTTTTAAATATGCGGGGCAGCCAATCAGAAGACAGTTACTTTAAAGTTCAAGAATAAAAACATAAACAAAATAGCTGAGGCTAGGTTGTTGTAGGTGGGCCTCCTGTCAGGGTACACACTGACACAGCAGGAGTTAGGTTTGACCCAGCTTCTGCTGCCTTGGAATAAATGCCACTGGTAGCCGAAATGCGAAGCCACTTTTAGCATTATACTACTGTCACACTTCAATGAGTGGTTGAAGACTGGCAAAACAAAATTAGGGCCAGGTCTGCGACTGCTTGCAATCACTGGTGTTAAAACCACATTAAGATGTTATTAGTTTGCAATTGATTGCATGCAATTGCTAACTTGACCCCAATCTGTTTATGATAATAGGGCAATGAACTGTGTTGTATTGCAAAAATCTGCTGTTCAGACACAGAAATTGATGTTTCTAACATTCAGAGTTTAGCCAGAAATTCCTCCACAAGTGTTATATAATATCAAATTAAAATTAATGCTGGGATCTGCTAAGTCAAGTCAACTACTGTAAAGCTGTTCTCACTGGCGCACATTGCCAATAATCAGCTGGGGTCAATCTGTGTGCGTTTGTAAATGAGATTATTTGCAAACCTTCACCAATCTGTCACAGAGAGTCACAATCAGTCGCAGTCAGTCTGCAACTGTTTTGAGACAAGTTGCCTCCCAACTGGCAACCTATGCAACTGTTTTGCGTTTGAAAGCTGTCGACCACACGCTGTGGGTGTTGCAGGCTCAAACTGTGGGCGACCAACTGATCACTGCAGCAACTTGCAGTGAAAAAATTCAGTGCAGTTACCAGGCAACCACAGATTGGTTGATTTAATTATTTTACGGTCGCAAAAAGGGTGCCATGACATGCTGATTTAGTTGATATGATAATCAGTTTCCTTTTTTTGGCTTTTCATTGTTTGGTGTCACATTTTTACTTATTTCATTTTGCTCTGTCCTGGATTTTCTACTGTTTGCTTATCTAAACGTTTGATCCTGCCTCTGCTCCATCTACATTTATTTGTTGTTGTCAGGTTCATATAAAGCAACTACTCCACCCTTAAATGAGCAAATTCAAATAATGTTATATACTATCCTACATCCTGGTGGTTTCCTTTCAATTTAAATAAAACAAAAGTGACAAGCCAATTTAATTTAAGGGGTGAGATCGTTTCTGTTGCTTTAAATGATTCCTTCGGCTCGGCCTGTGTTCTAGGCAGGCTTTGCACGTAGTAAGTATATCCTGCTGGGCTCTCATTTGCCAGACAAAATACATCAGCTCCAGAGAAGTAACTGAGTGTATTTTAAGTGTGAGAAGTGGAAGCTCATTATCCGACAGTGCTCAAAGCTTTCAGAGTTTCCCAGTCTAACAGCGGCCAGTGTCACTGTCTCCATTCCTATTGTTTCAAAGTGTGAGTGTCAGAGTGCACCCTACAAATGTCAAAATTTGAATATTTCTCTGTGTTTTAAAGAGGGACACATAGATGTAACACAGATATTCTTGTGCAGATAGAGTATAGAATGCTTTCATAGTACTTTGTAATGCTATTTAGTCTGAGCACTGAACTCAAAGTCATTGTGGAAGACAGACCCCATAAAAACAAAAAGCAGGCTAAACCTGATCAAGCATCAGAGGTGGGAGTGGGTGGTCAGAGAAGCATCCATCTGATTCCTAGTTACATTTCCAATATTTGAAAAGTCTGCCTGAGGGAACCATATATTTTCCACAGGCTGCACTTTTATTGAAGGCATTTCACTTTGGGAATAGGCAAGGTTAGAGTCCTGGTGAGTATCAAGATTTAGCTGAAAAACAACAGCGGATGCAGAAACTCACAGTGACCACCTGAAGTCTGCATCCTCACAGGCTTTTCAGTCACTAAATGATCTGAAGGGTCATTTTGAGTTATTTAAGAGTACAGTACAGTCCATGTACCTTTGAACAGAGTCAGCTCACTGTGCAGCAGTAGAAGCTGTTGCATGTGACAAGCAGCTTTGTGATGATCGTGATATTAAACAAACAGGTCAGCATTATGGGAAACTTGCGTATTTGCTTTTGCTTACAACCCTGACCCTAAGAAACAGGAGTTGACGTGTATCATCTCTCTGTCTGTTTGTCTTATGGCAATAAAGTCCACCTGCCAGCATCTCTTCATCTCTATTCATCAGTCTGTTTGCTGCCTCTTAGGAGTAGCAGTCTAAGCAGCCTCTCTCTCTCTCTCTCTGCTAACATCCTCCAGCTCATCTGGGTGGGGGGGACACAAAGGTGTTCCCAAGCCAGCCGAGAGCATGTCCTAGGTGTGCCCTCGCCTAGGAGGCGTCCAAGATGCCAAACGACCTCGACTGGCTCCATTTAATAATGAGAAGTACCGGCTCTACTCCAAATCTTTGCCGAATGACTGAGCTCCTTACCTTATTTCTAAGGGAGAACTCAGCCGCCCTTTAAAGCCAATTACTCGAACTCATTCTTTTGGTCACTACCCAGAGCTCGTAGCCATAGGTGAGGGTGTGAACATAGCTCAACCAGTAAATCGACAGCGTCGCTGTTTTCACCACGAGCGACTGCTACAGCGCCCGCATCACTGCTGGCACCACACCAGTCCGTCTGTCAATCTCCCGCTCCACCCTCCCCTCGCTTGGGAACAACTCCTCCGCTTGGGGCACCAATTCGTCCAGACCCAGAGTGGGCACTCCACCTTTATCTGGCGTCACACTTGGAGGTGCTAATTCTCATTCCCACTGTCCTCACAAGTGACCTCGAACCGTTCCGCTGCGAGTTTCACGCCACCTTCTCATGAAGGCAACATAGCCAGATAGTCCACAAAACACAGAGATGAGATCCTGAGCCCACAAACGCAGAGACGCTCCGCAACCTGGCTGCGCCTAGAAATTCTGTCCATAGAAAATCAAAATCCCTTCATCTTACTAATTAAAAAGTAAAAGAAAACAAACTACAAGCATTGGTATTTGTGATTTTAAGAAAAAGTTTTTATGGGATTGATGTGTTAGACTTTTAAGTGTGTTCAGTGACTTCGCTCAGCTGGATGCCTGCCAAGCCCTTATAAGAAGAGCAAAACTGTCCATGTTTGTGCTCGGTTGGTTGTGTCCTGTAAATAGTTTTTCATAATAGTGGTGTTTGGCCAGAGTCCTTTTCTGGCTGCAGGGGATTTTTAATGAATTCTTTTTTTTATTTTTTACTGCAGCACCGCTAGTGACCACAGGGAAAAATGAACAGCAAGACTAAGGTGTGGTTCTGTGTGCAGCTCTGCTAATGTGTGTCTCCAGAAGTTCCACACGGTGCTAATCTAAGTTAATTGGCTCCCTTGTTGTAGCTTCACATGAAAGTGGATTGGATCTTTTTTGTCTAACCCAGCGCGGCACGTCCGGTCTGATAGCAATCCCTTTGATAGAAGGGGGAAAAAACCCAGACAAATGTGTCATTTCGCATCATCGTGTGGACTTGGCAGTTATCCAAGAGTGAATAAAAAGTGAATGCACGCTAGTTTAGGTCACTCCCTTTGACATCATTAAGTCAGTGTTAATCGTGCACCCATCTGTCCTGTGGTAATTATCCGTCTTGATCTCATGTCGCTGGCTGGTGGCATTATTAACCAATGACGTAGGAGGACCGGAGTTTCCTCTCCTAACTGGATTCATCAGCTTTTTTCTTTTTCTCTTTCATGTGGCACGTGAGGCTCACCTGATGTGTAAAAAAAATACCTGGCGAATCCTTCTTTTCTTTCACCAGAAAACCCGATATAGCTCGCATCCATCCGTCAGTTTTTTTTTAAAAGCTTACCGCAGTTGGCTTTGGGTAAAAAGAAGCGGTGTGCCACCCCGGTCAGGCCACCACTCCATCACTGTGTATAAAACTTGTTTTATAAAGCAGCAATTCTCTCTGCATCCCAGTTTTTTTGTTTTAAACCAGTTTTCCAAATACAGTACCAGGGACTTGTTGTAAGGTTTCAAGTGTGAAATTTCTGGGCCTAGGGACTGAAAACTATCAGAAATACGTTGACAAACTACTTCCTGGCCTTGATTGTATTTAGTTTTTGACATTTATTTGTCAAAGAAATTGCCTGGAAACAGATTTATATTGGCTCCACTCTCCCAGGGTCACATTTGTGTGTAGCTGGAGGGCTCCACACATTCGAACGCTCCATGTTGTAACCTTCGAATAAATCACATTCTTCTCTGTTTTACACTGAGCTGCTTCTCAAAGGGAGCAAGGGGAATCAGAATGATGTTCAAGGGCGCTTCTTTATTTTTAATATGCAAAGCAGAACCTTTTAGAGACTTTCTTTACACATGTTACGTCCGGCTTTAACAACAGATAAGAAAATCATTTTTTTTCATAGGCATCGTGATCGTCATTGAGGTCACAGGAACAGGATATGCTGACATTTTCGAGTAATATAAATACTTTTAGTGACATCCTGACGTTCTCTGTGACATCACCGAGGAGTTGATATTTGTGTTTTTGACTGGAAATTGTTGGATTCTTTCACGGGTCTCTTTTGTAAGTACAGTGTCTTCCCCTGACACATAAACTCAAGTAAACCTCATTTGAACCGTAGCCAGAAGTGTCTTCTTCTAAGCTGACGTCACTGGATCTTAATCTCATACAGCACGTGAAGAGAGAGTCAGCCCTACGGCTCAAAGTGGCCCGAGTCCACGAGCCCTGCGTCATCTCACCTGAATGTTTACAGAGTCGCAATCCTTTCCAGGTGAGGGCAGGCATCACTTTCCTTTCACGGAGTTAGGAATTCGTGCCAAGACTGGATGGCTCTGACGCATTCGCTCCCTCTGCTGCAATCTGGAGGAACCCCGGAGACCAGATCAATGCCACCTTAAGCTCCTCTGGGGATAACAGGCAGCCTGTACAGCGGCTGGAGGGAGGCCTGAAGGGATGAGACGAGGGGAAGAAAGGGAGATGAGAAGGAGAAAGGGGATAAGGAGGAAGGGGTGTAGAGATAGACTGCGGTGGGTAAAAGTGAGCAGCAGGGTTTGAAGGTTGCCTGACAGAATCTTTTTGGAGATTCTTAGTCTGTCACTACTAAAACACATCCTTCTTATTCTGTTCGCTTTTCTAGTGTAAAGGTTAGAATTTCACACGATGATTCACAAGTTGCCTGCAGTTTGTTCGAGCCCTCACTCAGTAATGATATCAATTAAAAATGCATTTCTTTGCTTCATGAATTGGTGTTAACAAGAGAGCTTACAGAAAAAAGCAGGCATGAGTGTAAACATGTGAAATATTCAGATTTGTACATGTGAGCTTCTTCACGTTCCAGGTCAGTTCCAGTGTGGAAACAAGCGCTGCGAGAAGGAGGAAGGCCTCAAAAGCTGGGAGGTGAATTTTGCCTACGTTGAACACGGGGAGAAGAGAAACGCACTGGTCAAACTCAGTAAGGAAAAAAAGAAGAGAATTATCTCTTTATTTTATAGCCTCATTTTTTGGAAAAGGCGTGGCTGTGGCCCAGCAAATGGTCCCTATCTATGACCTTAGTCATAATGATCCCCCTTCAGGTTATTATACTGCTGAAAATAATTACTGTAGTTGGAGGAGTCAGTTAAGCAGGAAATAAAAGACTCTTTTAACAAGCTGGTCTTACAGGTCACGTCCAGGTTCTTTCTCCTCACAAGAAAAAATAAATCCCACTTTGTGCCAAATTAAAATTCATTCTTTAGACAGTCCCTATTGTTTAAACAGTAATGAAACGTGATTTGGCAACCCCAGTGCCTCAGCTTTACTGGACAAATATGATCCATAAGGATGATGATGCATTGGTTCATGAGCAGAGTTATTAGGAATCTTTTTTTGTGTTTTGGGAGAAAAACATGAGCTCCACCGGGTTCTTTCGTGCTTTCTTCTCTGTAGTTTATACACAGATGATTCATTTTTATCAACAGCATTCCCTTTGTATTAGAGGTGGGAATCACCATACAACTCGCGATACGATATTATCACAATACTTAACGCATGATACGATATTATTGCGATTTTTAAAAAAATATTTTGCGATATTTAAATTCTGCACATAAAGGTAAACTTTATCAATATTCATTTTATCTAATATCAAAGTCTCGCACTCAGTCTTTCTCTCATTTCAGTCAGTTTTATTGTTGACAAACTGAACGGTTTGTATTACAGTCTAGTCCAACTTAACTGAATGCAACCATCTGGTACAATTATAGCTATTCTGAACTATGCAATTTATGAAAACTATGCAGCCCCTTCAGCAACTGAAGAATTTGAAAGTAAATTTAAAAAAAATATAATTTTACATTAAATAAAAAAGTTTTAAACTTAATTAAAATTAAACATGTCTTAAATTAAAATAAGTAAACTGTCATGTTTATTGCTGCCAAAAAAAAAAGTTAAACACATTTGGACAGTGAAGGAATGTCAGGATTCTTGCTCAGAAAAAGGATCAACATGCTCTGAAGTCAACATGCTCTGACTCCAGAGCATGTTGACTTCAGAGAAAAAATTGTTTGTAACAAAATATCGATTTCTGCTGTCCCTGTATCGATACATTATTAGCAAACAAAATATCACGATACTACACAGTATCGATTTTTTTCCCCCACCCCTACTTTGTATGTGCGCAATACTGTTATATACTGCGGAGCAAAAATCTTGAGCCACCGCTATTTTCTTTATATGTAGCGAGGAAAATGGGTCCATAGATCTATTAAAAATGTGCAAAAAAGAGAGAGTTTGTACAGTTCTAACAAGCTTGAAAGTCAATATTTGGTGTGACCACCTTTATTCTTCAACACAACCTGAACTCTGTTGTGTTGAAGAATACTTAATGAACTCAACACAACAGTTCATTAAGTATTACTTAATGAACTCTCGTATTCGGGCTTTCTTCTCTTTAAGTAGTCTTCACGAATAGTACCCCAGGCTTCTTGAAGGACATTCAAGGCTCTTCTTCAGATGTTGGCTGCTTTTGTTCTGTTCTCTGTCCAGATCATCCCTTTCCTTTTGTCCAGTTTGATTGAATTTTTTTTTAAGGACACATTGCATAACATGCTGGGATATGCCAAGGTTTAAGCTAATAGCTTCCAGCAAAAATATTACTACTTAATGACTCTTAACATTTTTTTATTAGATAGCGATGGTGGAGACAGAGGAGGGAAGACACGCAGCAAAGGGCCACAGGTCAGATTCGAACCCAGGCTCAAGTTACTGCGTCTTGAACGGTGTTAGCTTTGATCAAATTGTGTCATTTTTGCTTTTTTTCATCAATTCGACTAAGGAAATGACAATTAGTTATGTGTTTTTGCGACGGGATACATATTTAACAATTTTAAATCTGTCCTTTGATAAAGCTGTGTGTCATGTATAGGTCCTAATATTGGTCCATCGGTTGGGTGAGGTGACTTTTCCCACATGGGAATTATTCAGAGTTCAGTGTTAAATTGCTTGAAAAAAAACAAACGTTCCTCTGGAAATGGAAGCTTCTTGGAAGCCAAATATAAAGAAATGAAGGGTGACTCAAGACTTTTGAAGACTCAGCACTGCATATGAATCAGGTTGAACATTTTCTAAGTGTACACCGGGGTGATGCTGCAGTTACTGTATCTTCTATAGAAGCATCATTTTCAACCACTAGTAGTTACAAAAAGTGTGAGCATTAACACAGAAGCACCCTGACACTGTCACTATAATAACAATCGCAGGAGTAACAGTGGATCTATTTTTAGAGCCGCTACAATAGATGTGAATATGTCATGTTGTTTCTGTTCTAGGACTTTGCCCTGAATGTTCTTTCAAACTCAACTACCATCACAAGTAAGCCGACTTTCACTTCGCCTTTTACATGAACATGTAGCTCTGTTTGCCCGTGAAGACTGATTTCTGAGAGTGCGCTCGTCTGCTAAAAGTAGGCCAGGTCACCATGGACAGTCAGCACGTGTTGTTTTGTTGCTTGCAGAGGTTTAGAATTCAAAACATGATTCATATCTCCTGTCTGACCTTACCAGAGTGTCATGATTTTATCACAGTTTTTTGAATCTGGAAGCAGCTGTGTGCATTATAGCGTCGCTTTAGCCGCTGAAGGATGGCTGGAAGTCTTGTATTAGATGTTTCCATTAAAGCCGCAGTTTACTCGTGTTTTGGATGTGCCATTCAACCCACACGAAGGGTTTCACGTAATAACATTTGAAACAGTGACTTGGCTGACGGTTTGGTCAATTTGTGATTCTGTTCAGGAGGAAGGAGGTGAAAGCAAAACCAAAGACTGAAATGCTCTTGGATCAGAACCAGAAGCCAGCGAAAGCAAAAGCAAAGAAGAAAAAGAGATCGTCGTCACATTCGAAGAAGCACAAACACAAGAAGCACCGAGGTAAAACTCCTCTGCTCTTCTTTCTAAATAAACGTTCCTTTAGAACAGTAATAGGATGAAAAAAATACCCTTGGGAGCAACCTTGTTTGCATTATGTTCTTCGAAATTATGTAATACCAACTTTTCTTTTGTGTTTGACATTTAGTTTTTTTTGTTGTTGCCATAATTTCCATTTGATCTCATCTTATTTTATTACAAGAGCTCCAAGCTTTAAAACTGCCATTATTTGTTCTGTTTTTTCCTCTTTCACTAAATTGTTTGTGCAGCAAAAACATTCATAACTAAAAACATACAGTTTATCCTCCCCCACCACATTAAACTGGAAGTACTGCACCCATAGGTGGTGCTGTAGGAGTCAGGTTTATGTTTTTAGCAATTATGCAAAATGTGTCGCCAGCAGGGAAGTTGCATGCAGAGTGCCCTCTGGTGGACAGAATGTGCAATGTTAGCGCTCATAACACAGTTGAAGGGTGTCTCTCCACTGTGGGGCCAACAGTGTGGCAAGTCATGCACGTAGTATTTTTAAAGTGTTCATTAAGCTCAGCAAAGGCCGGTAGCTGTGACTCTGATCGTTGCCTCTCTGTGTTTCTCTATAGATCGCTCCACCTCTTCCAGCAGCTCAGAGGAATTGCAAAACTCGGATAAAGGTAATGTCACGATGGCCTGATGCACACAGACCCACAAACGCATTTTTAAAAAGATATAGGGATGCACAGATCCCTAAACCTTTAGGTGAAATTTGCCATTTTGCCATTATGATAGGTCACCTATCTTACATATCTTTTAATTTTTTCCAAATTTTCAAATTTCAAATAGCTCTTCAATGTTGGAATCTGAGTTTATGATCTCCTTCATCTGAGCGCTGAACTGAAACTCTCCTCCAAACTTCTGCAGTGAAAGCACCCTGACACTCCCATAATTCCTGTAGTTAATGTTGCAACAGATAGCAGATCCGTGTTTTTCTCAGCATGCTTTTTGTCTCCGTTCTTTCTTTCTTTTTTCTTTTTCTTGTTTGTTTTTTTAACTTTACTGGAAACAGCATGAAGTGAGGTATGACTTTGCCCTCTTGTCCCTGTTCTGTTTGTTCAGCCAAGGTCTGGCTGGATAAATGTGTTGGTAGGTGGAGGTGTACACTCTGAGGTTATGTCACTGAGTTCCACATGCAGGTCCATACACAAAAACTCTTATGCTTTCTTTCTGCGTCACACATGTTCAAAGCAATTGTATAAGGTTGGAGAAGATTAAATTTACACGGTATTTAGTGTAATGTATAAGCAGCACTTTCAAAGAGGGGGGAGAGATTTTTAATATCAGGGAAGCACTTTGTGCCCTAGAAACTTTATATTAATGCCAGGGAAAATGAATGGAAAAATATGCTGCTTTGGCCCAGTATAGCATCACATAATTAGTGGCTTATGCTCATAACATATTTGTCTACTACAACCTGCCAAAACTTGTTTCTGAATAAATTTGTGAAGGAGGAAATAGGCCACGTTCTTGAAGAAGAACTATTTTTTTTCTGCAGGGTTTAGAGTTTACTTCCTAAACATTCACTGGTTGATCAGAGGCTATATGAGTGACAAATTAAAGGAAAACATCAACTCTTTATATTTATATTAATAAAGGGTTTCAGTGGGTGTGTTATGCGCATGATGGAGGTGATTTGGGTCAAAACACTCCATCCACTCCTCTAACTGAGGTCTTTCTCTATTTAAAGACCTAAAGAGGTGATCGTGGCTTAAGAGTTGGGAGTTCGCCTTGTAATCGGAAGGTTGCCGGTTCGAGCCCCGGCTCGGACAGTCTCGGTCGTTGTGTCCTTGGGCAAGACACTTCACCCGTTGCCTACTGGTGGTCAGAGGGCCCGGTGGCACCAGTGTCCAAAGGTGCAAAGGTTACCGGTTGACCCAGTTTTTCTTTGCTGTGAGTGCGACTGACTGCTCTCTGAAACTCTCCTACTAGACTCTGACGCTGGGGATGAGCCAGAGGACCAATCAGAAGGCGACCACTGGCGAGGACCTGCCCCTGCAGTGGAGGAAAAGTCGAGGTGAGGTTAACAGTTAGTGCTCGTTTTAAGCTTCCCGTTTGTCACAGTTACATGGGTTACTGCTGTCTATATAGCACTATGAGAGCTGCTTGCACACACTGCGTAAAGCTGCTCACAAAATCTTGAACACGTTTATGTCAACTTCCACCGAGCTTTGATAGGATAATGATGGTAATGCTTCTGAGCCATTTCACAGGCAGCAAATGGCTTATTACTCGAAATATTGGCTGTGCTAGTTTGGGTTTTATAATCCGTGTAATGAATATTATTGATGTTATTATAAAATAACGTCAGGGAGAACATAAAGACCTGCCTCTTACAAATCTGACATTCGTATAGATTGGGTTCTACTTTCAGTCAAGAAAGCGATAGTGAGTAACTTAAGTGCATTTCAGGTCTGTTTGCTTTGTTTAAAAAAATGTTCAGTCTCTCTTGCTTCTGCCCCTCACTGCGTATTTGTTTGTGTTCTGGATCAGTGTTGTCAACATCATTTTATGCTGTATAGAGAACTGACACTGACCGAGTTATGCTGGGGTCCCCCCATAAGAAGCATCTAACAGTTTGTGTCAGTATCATGCATGACAGGAACTTACATTTCTGTGTTTTGCTTGTTGTGTCTCTTCAGGGAGGAAGAGTTTGATGAGTACTTTGAAGACATGTTTCTTTGAATCCGCTGGAATCAGTGACTTCCCTGCTGCGACTACACTTCTGTGTCTTCTGAATACTTAAAGGTGTTCTGTTTGAGTCTTGACTGTATGTAGGTTTATTTCACTGCGAGTTCCATTACTGCCAATGAAATAAACATCGTGTTTACATGGCCTGTCCCTGTCACCTTCTCTTTATATCTGTTTTTGTTTTTAATGTTGCAAATTTTACCATTTAATGTCCCTTTTTACGACCCAGCACATACAGGAAATGCTCTTTTTCTTTCCAGCCGTGGAGCTTGCCCCTTGCTTATAATGCAAAACTTAATTAAGTCTTAATTCAATAACCTTGTCCCCAAGTCCCATTTGCAACTAAACCTGCATATATGATTGTTTTGTGAAGTGTTGCATAAGAGTCAAACCTTCTGCTCTTTAAAAAAAAAAAGGATTATCTTTAACTGCAGAGGGGAACTACATGTTGCTGGGGATTAAAGACCTTGGCTTAAATAAAGACAATTACCACATACTGCTCTGTCTGTGTCCTTTTTTACTTTCTGCTTTCTCGGGAGCACTCTTTCACTGTGTGATTCATGGCAATGTAAGCTAACAGGTAGTTAAGTACAGTCCACTGAGCAATAACAGCTTGTTTTGGAGTTTAGGCAGGATGCACCTTTTCAGCTGATCAATTGTGCTGTCAAAGTCCGTTTTCTTGGATATGTTGCTTATGTTTTTCCCTCGTGATTTAGAAGTTGAAAAGTAGCACCAATTTTTCGCTCTCATTGAAGAACCCAGAAAAAGTGCAGTCTGTATTCAAGTCCAAGTTTCCACAAAATAGATTCTCCTCAAACTAGATATTGGTTACTTGTGTCTTAACATCAGCTGAATCTCAGCCATCCGAGTTATAATAAGACACTAACTTTTTATTCCAGTAGAGGTGGACTGTGAAGAGAGTTGCACTCGCCGACCTCTAAACTCTCCGGGGATCGAAGGGTCACGTTGGCGCAGAAGCGTTCGGCGAAATGATAAATTACTGCTCTGTGTTTCATGTCACATATTTCACATTGTCAGTGGAGGCCTCAGCAGCATCCTGTCCTCTCTATGCAACGCACACGCTGGATTGCACTGCTGCAGCCGCTCTTAATTGTGTTATTTTCCTACACTTCAATGTGCAATTTCCAGCTTTCTCCAGGCGGAATTTGCACACAGCAGGTCACAGGCACAACGCTGAGCAGAAAAGTGAGATGGTACTGAATCGGGCAGGGATCACAACCAATCCACTGATCCTCTTTCCCCAATGGCTCATCCAGCTTTGGAGCCTCTAAGATCCCCCGGTGATATATGGCTTTCCGACGAGCACTGTCGCAGCTAAGCCCAGAGGATCTCAGGTTCACTCTCTGCCTGTGTTTAACTTTAATCGGCATAACTCAACTTGCGAAGAAGAGAGAAAACGTCGCCTCTGCACGTGCTGTCCTATTTTCAAGCCCAAAAAAGAGATGCTCTTTACTCTTTTGCATCCATAATATCCTTTATTTGCTTACACATATTACATCTCATGACTCATACAGAGGTCATTTCATACATCAAATGATAGAGCTCTAATGTCTGAATGACAGTTGATGGATTAAGTAGAAAGTATATAGTGCTTTTTTGTGTCACACAAATGATCCAAAAGAAAAGCCAAGGGGCTGTTTTTTTTTTTTTTTTTTTACATAACTGGAGACAGAACTGATGGTGTAAGATTTCATATAAAATGTGTGCAGCAAGATAAGATTATGAAATCACTGAAACATATCTCTCACATTTCGTAAATGTTTGTTTTTTTGCACAGTTTTGGATCCAGGGATTACAACGGCTCCTCGCTTCACCTCAAGCAGCAGACAAGGTAGTTTCCAGGTACTCCCAAAGCCCTTCTGATAGGATCAAGTGCCTCTGATTGATGCCCCATTGATTAGAGGAGACATTGCGTAACAGGGAGATGAAAGCCACAGCCGCAGTGCTAACAAGAAAGTGCACTCTGCTTGCACTGTAAACTCTTACGTTTTCAGCCCAGATCGGTTCAATTTGGTTTTACGTGGGTGGCATAGATTTACACTGAGTTGAGCAGTTATTGCCTTATTTGTCTCACGGTTACATCAATGAAGAAAGGAGACGACTTTGGCCTGTACCACCGTACAATCAATGATGCTCTAGCTGCATCTTCACAAAAACAAGTCTCTGCACATATATATGATAAGCCTTTTTTTTTTACCTCCTCAGTAAGACTGTTATTTAAAGCTGTGTGGATCGCAAACACTGGCAGGCAATCAAATCCTCTTACAGAAGAGGTAGATCTACTGCAACGCTCGCCTGCTTACAAGAAGCAAGAGTTGCCTTTACAACCTTCAATAAGTTTATACAATTTACATTTTACAATTCCTATGCCATAAACTATAAACATGTGAAATCATTCACATTTAAAAAGACTTTTAAATGGAATCGATAAGAAATTGTAAGTTCAATCTTAATACCCGTGTAGTAAAATTGTGTCTTTTCCCAGTTCAGCGCAGCTCAGAGGAATTCATCAAAGCTGACGATAAAGTTCAAAACACAGACTCGACGTCTGGATGTGATTCTAGTGATAATTTGTCCTCTTTCAAAGCTCCCCTCCATCCTCCTTCCAAGACAGTCCAAGTACAAAATACTCAAATAATCAAAAAAAAATATAAGTATATATAGATATAGTTGCATATTAAAATACAAACACCTTCACACAGCTTCTTAGTGCCTTTTGAGGTAAGAGACATCGGTCTTTATTTCAAGACAGTGCGTTTCTCACTATTACATGCATTCCTTGCTTTTCACCACTAAAGCATTAACAGATCCCTCAGATTGCAGCTTTCCTACTCTTAATGTGAAGGAATTCATTTCACACATTCCCTTTAGCCCCTTTCCTCAGGTCCGTAGCCATGACGTTACATTACCCTCACTTTATCACGTCTGCCACTGTCAAAATAGCAGCAGCTAAGTGCGTTGTGCGACCTACAGTATTAAAATATACTGCGTGTTAACTGACTGCCAACAGGAGCGCTCTCTGAATTGTCTACTGCAGCACTGTACATGCTTTGGCATGTGTACACCCCACACACTGCACCCTATCTGAACTACACATAACTAGTTTTTCCTTCCTGAATATTTAAGTTTATCCAGCCACACTTTTAAAACATGTCAGAATATTTTTGGTTAACGCTAAGGAATTTTTGCGACAGTATGATTTTTCTTTAAAAATGTCCACAGCATTGTTCAGCAGGAAGGAGAAGATTCAAACGTGTCTTTCAAAGTCGAACAGCTTCTCTTCCAGGTTTCACGGTGAAGTCTCTGACTCTTCCCTCCTTGAAGAAAAGGTTAGGTGGGTCTATTCCAAACTGCAGTGCAGACCAGACCTGGCAGGCTACACAGAACCAAACTAGACCATACAGGGCTGGACCGGACTACATGAATGAAACAGCGAATAACCAGAACTATAGCGGTGTAGGCGAGACCACACCGAGGAAAAAGCTTCGATGAGATGAGCTTTCAGACCAGGAAAGACTAGTGTTGTCTAGATTAGTCCTAAACAGACTGTATCAGTTCAGATCCAAGCACTGGTGGAACTTAACAGATGGTGCACGTCTTTGATTTCCCTCCTTCGCCGCCACCACCAGCTAAATATACAAAGAAGAAAAAAGAAAGATGAACTCTTCTGTCGAGCCAACAGATTAATGATCGCACAAAGATATTCTTACCTTTCTTGGCTTCCTCTTCTTCTAGTTTCTTCTTCTCATCCTCAATAGCCTTCATCTTCGCGTTGTATACTTCAGCCAGCTCGTTCCAGTGTGCCCTGTTATTGTTCAGGCCGTCAAACATAGGCTGGATCTCTTTGTGGAACCTTGAGAATTCCTGGGAAAAGAAAAACAAATGAAATGTAAGTATGTGTTACTTATGTTATATAATAACTGGAAGAATGCAGCTTTTTCCCCCCTCTTGCACTAATATGTTCTGCCTCTTACAGCACCGGCCTGCAAGGACAGCAGATTCATGGATGTAGCCTATGTGTTTATTCTAGTGTAAATACCATCTGGTGACAAATTAACAGCAACACTAATTACTTATACACGCTTTCCAGTGATGTAGAACTGGTGCCCAAACTTGAACCGAGAAAGAAATGGCTGGGCTTAAAGTCAGAACCAGAAAGCATGCTGGGTATTTGAAGGACGCCTGCTATAAATTTACTGATCAGGTACAGACAGAGTCCTTTGTTTCTTTGTGCCATGATTAGGAAAAATCCCAAAGGTGATCACTCAGAACATGCCTGTGTCTCTTCTCTGTGGACAAACAGACCCAAACCACACCAGCACGGTGTCCCCAAAGGTCCTGTAGTTTCTTTAAATTTCTTCACCTGTCGTGTAGCTGGCCTTCTGGGCTCAACAGGTAATCTCAATACATCCTGTTACACAACCTAAGATGGTTGATGCCGCTGCGCTGCTTTCTGTAAAGCTAATAATGACACTGCGTGTGAAATTGCCAGTTTGCAATCAGCACCAATGTTTTTGCTCCTGCGCTGTGCAGTGACGTTTTGGTGTATCGTTTTGGTGTTCAACTTTATCACCACAGAGTCCTCTCTGTTCTAATTATTATTTATGAAATATGGGAACACTTACACCTGGCTTTTCATCGAGCTGTTCAGGAGGGCTTGAAAATAAATATTATTGCCTTGGAAACACTGTAAAGGCTCCGAGTAAAATTAATGACTGTGCTAAGTTATTTTTGTTTGGCTCTGCCTTTCTTAAAGGCCCCTCACAGTAGGATTACACAGTTGCAGTAGTATTAGCGCTTGTTTAAAAATACAGATAAACTACTGCAACATAGACCAGACTTCCTTTCTTGTCTGTTTCACTACCAGCCTCCACTAGTCATCTTTTGGCACGGCGGCACAGTGTAAAAAAAAAGAAAAAGTTTTCACCTTGTACACAAATGAGCACACAAAGTCGATGAAACCACACTGCATCTTGGGGAGCTGTTCGGCACAGTTTCTGTCCATCATGGGCTGAGAGAGACAAGAGGAAGAGTTTTCAGGTGAAAGAGGGTCAAACAGTTGCTCTGTAATGCTAAAAAACAAACCAAAACGTGAACGGACAAGAAGAAAGCCACAGGAGGGGG